ATATGTAATAAATTATTATTCATTCTAATCAAGTCTCTCCTGATTGAACGACAAAGAGTAGTTCATAAACAAAAGCCCACTCACTTTCAGGGAGTTTTTCCTGTGCTCTAATAATCTACTGTACATGATAATGTACATAGATTATTATGCATGATAATTCAAACAAGCATTTACAAAATGTTACCAATGATATTTAATAACAGATATGGTGTGTTATCTATTAGCCAACATACAGCCTGATTTGGCATAATGCTTTTCTTGGCTGAGCGAGCTCAGTGATGGATGGAGTGTACTCACTGAACTTCATGCGGATGTACTCATAAGGGTCTTCCAGCCAAAGCTTCTCATCCTCATCTTTGTAACACATGAGAGGGAAGATGACCTCCTGGCATATGGTCTGTAAGAGATGATCAATAACAAGGAAAAGCAGATATATAACAAGGAAAGACATGTGACACTAGAGATAGAGGAAACTTTGCATCCCTCTGAAGTCCACCTTTCAGAAACTGAAGACAGTGAAGACATTACACGTTTGGTACGGTCTGGTTCTCAAGAACAGAAATGAACAAGTTTAAAGCAACTCTTCCTCTTTATGTAGTCTCCAAAACCAACCTGAACCAACTAGGTTAAAACTGTAATTACACTGTAGTTCTGATGGTTTCCCTCTTTTACAATATTCATCAGTGTAGCAACATACAGGGAAGACAGCAAGCTCGGAAACATGAGGTAAACAATGTTCAATTGTAATATTCTAAGAACTTGGCTTTGCGAATGTTTCGTGAACACAGTGCTTAATTGACTGATCATATCAGCACTAATGGATCGATTCGATACATAATGAATTGCCAGAAAATGTATTAATCAATTCATTTTTTAGGTAATTTGTCAAGCACCAAAATGCTAAACATTGAAAAGAAGCCTGCAAGCATACAAATGATCCCCTTGGATGAACAACAAAAACCAAACAAGCTGAATGACTTTCACTTAATGTTTAATTCACAAAACTTCTCTCATGAACATTACGATGTGTTGCAGGCTGAAAGTGGACCCACTTCCACAATGCCTTTGTCACCGACATAAGAGTTAATAAATAAAGCACATCCTGTCTCAAAACAATGCAGAAAAATCAGTTAATGCATATGTTACTTCTAGACTAGATTACTGCAATTCCGTATTATCAGGCTGCTCTAGTAAGTCTCTCAAGGGGCCGAACCCAGCAAGAGGCGTCGCAAGAGGCGTCGCAAGAGGCGTCGCAAGAGGCGTCGCAAGAGGCGTCGCAAGAGGCGTGGACGCTTCAAAAATGTCCCTGGGAAAAGCGAGTTAGGCAAAACAGCTGATGAGCCTGTGGAGCGGGGGTGCGTGAGTAACCAGGCGATGAAATGTAAATAAAGGGGATACATTTATTCAATGCAGACATCAAGCCCTTGCTGTAGCTCTGTTGTTGAATGAGGGGAAATATTATGTTGTTCATCATAGTTGAAAATCGGTAATATCGGTAATATCTGTGTGACTCCCCCGTCGACACGATGGAGTCCTTCCACTTCCTGGGCTCCATCATAGGACCTCAAGTGGGAGCTGAACATCAGCTCCATCACCAAGAAGGCTCAGCAGAGGATGTACTTCCTGAGGCAGTTGAAGAAATTCAACCTGCCAAAGACAATGATGGTGCCCTTCTACACAGCCATCGTTGAGTCCATCCTCTGCTCCTCCATCACGGTCTGGTACGCTGCAGCCACTGCCAAGGACAAGGGCAGGCTGCAGCGCATCATTCTCTCTGCTGAGAGGGTGATTGGCTGCAATCTGCCGTCCCTCCAGGACTTGTTCGCTTCAAGGTCCCTAAAGCGAGCAAGAGAGATTGTAGCCGACCCCTCTCACCCTGGACAAAAACTGTTTGTGCCCCTTCCATCTGGTAGGAGGCTGAGGTCCATCAGGACCAAGACCTCACGCCACACGAACAGTTTCTTCCCGTCGGCAGTCGGGCTCATTAACAGAGCCCGGGACCCCCACTGACTCTGTCATCCCCAGGACAAATTCCTACCGGTCACTCCCCTGCACATCCCTTCTATTACACTCTACACTTTACACCACACTTACATCTCACTTGTTTATAGTCCTGTTATCTGTTCGTTTGTGCACTTTATTTTATATTTTACTTTATTTTATATTTTTCTGTAAATTTTTATACGTTTCTACTTTGCACTGTTGATTGTTGTTGATTGTTGTTAAATGTTTGCACCTCCCGTCATGTCAAATTCCTTGTATGTTCAACATACCATGGCAATAAACGGTTCTGATTCTGATTCTGATTCTGATCAATGTCAGTGGTAGAGTAGTAAAGCCAGCCTCTTGCTTGATTTGATTGGCTGCCTCGGTCTAGAGTCACACTAACGAGTGGAGCACCTCTGTGCCCGACGCTGAAAAGTTGAAAATATTTTAATGCTCGTCTAGAAATCGCCTGAAAAACGCAGCACGCGGTGCAGGTGAGGAGCACAAATCAGGCGCACCGCATCATAAAACGATGCTTTTGCGGGTGACGTGTTTCGAACAAAACGTCTCGTGTGATCGGCCCAGAAGACTCTCCAGTTGATCCAGAATGCTTTTCAAAAAAAGAAATTACATCATTTTTTGAATGAAACTTTCAATGTCTGGTGTCCTATTTTATGATGTTATCACCCGAAGAAAAGGAGGAAGATATGATTGTATGACGTATCGTTAGGGTTATACAACTGTAATTTATGGTGATGTTGGATTGCTGCTATAGGCTGGCCAGTTAACTTAATACAGGGTTTTTAACCACAGATAAAATCTTGTTTACGAAAGGCGAAACGCCATCAAATGAAACGGAATATTTGGTCAGAAAAACGATGCAGTGGTATTATCTCACCTTTCACAGACTTTTAAAAAGGAAGCCCTTGTTTGAATAGAGGAGACATTTCTATTCAATAGATATATTTATGTTTCCATATCTTTTATAAATGCAGAAAGCTTATAGGTTTTATTATTCTAAAGCTCCGTCAGATATTGCCCCCTGCCGATTGGATCACCTATTGGCGATGTCAAGTAACCACGATTGGACGATATGAAAATAACGATCGCCCAATTCTAACGCATTTCTTACTAGAAACATACATGCACTGTTATTTAACCACTCAAGGATCTTTAACACTACATATCATTGATGTGGCGCTGCACATCGTCATCATCACGTAGGTCATTCCTGATGATGTGACCCAGAATCCCTCGCTCTTGTAGTTTGACAAGCAATTTACAATGAATTTGGTCAAAAGCTTTAGCTGCATCCAGGAAACATAACTATCGTAGTGCTATGTCTCCTATACTTACTAACAACTTCTTTCAGTGCATATATACATAAGTCAGTGCTATGTTCACTTTTAAAACCAAATTGATTGTCCATGTATGTATTATGTATTCCTGAAGCTTATCTAAGAGAATTCGTTCTAATACTTTAGAAAGTACGCTAGCCAGAGCAATAGGTCTGTCATTTTCAATGCTGGATATTTTACCGGTTTTAACTTGTACTGGCACTAACAAAACAGTCAGCATAGAGTCAGGAAGTACGCCATGCAGTAACAATCTAGAAACACACAGCAACACTGGGATTCTGTGGCTAGCATGCTTCAGATGTTCTGCTGTTATTCGGTCAAGGCCACATGCTTTGTTTACTGACAAATGTCTCAATGGCATACAGCACTTCATCAGGTCTAACACACACACCAGCATCATCAGGAACATCACCAATATTAAATTCATCACTCTTCACACTGTTGAAAATATCCTATAATGTTTACTCCACAGATCTACAATACTGAACCAGTAGCCCCATCACTGTTGGATGGCGAGAGCATCTTAATGTTATTGGCAACCTCAACTTCTTTACAGAAGTTTGGCATTAATTAGACAATTCGCAATGTTATCATACATTATGCATTGATCACTGTTGTGGTTTTGGTTCTCACAGTTAATGTTGCCACACAGAATTGCATCAAGTGGTATATATATGTGATCTGTTGTAGCCAGCTCATACAGGATTGCAACATACTCAAGACAGTCATGAGCATCAGCTGTACATACACAGTGATCCAGCCAAGAGGTTGTATGTCATGCTTCACTGGTTTATGTGGAGCGGTCTACTGGCAACTTTCTATCTTGACAAAGTTGCATTAGGTGTTGATCAAACAGACTTATTATCTTGTTATCTGAGATATCAGTGTTCATATCACCCACAACAAATATACATGTATCTACACTTTATAAAAGCTTTATTAAGGTATTCATCCTCGTTTTGGTTACATTCATAAGGAGTGTAAACATTTCAAATTATAAAAACATTCTTATTATGTACAACTTGAATTGCTGTGCACCAGTCCACCTCTAGCCTAATCACACTGATCAGTGGATCATATTTATTATGCCACAGAATGCCCCCCCCCCCTTTAGTACATTAAATACACTGTGAATAGCTTCAAATTCAACTACATCTAAAACAACAACTTCATTATATTTATTGTTCACACGGTTTCTCAAAAGGTTCTTGGCACCCTGAGAGAGTTCCCGCTATGGAAACACCCTAACGGTCAATAAACCCTAACCTGATGTGAGGGAACTCGAACACTACCCAACCTGAACTCATTAGCACTAGTGTAATCAGAATCAAAGTTCTAGTCAGAGCAGACTGTAGAGTTACACTTATTGTATGTCTCTGTATGTGCCAGGAACTAATGGTTAAAATAGCAGCTATTTATAAAAGACTTTCCTTGGAAAATGAAAAGTAAATGCAAATAATTAGATGAAAAATGACACAAATTTCATACCAATCTACACAATCACTCTTTATCACATTCCTCCATGATGTCCTACCTGCATATGTGGCTTCATCTGTTTCCAGGTCAGTGAGTGTGACAGGCCCTGATTGAGGTAGTTGAGGCACTGCTGCAGGACGCGAGGAGTAACATAGTGCTTCTGTCGGTGTTGGTCCACTACCTTCAGCAGGACCTGGACAGACAATACATGACAAAAGAGACAAACCAAAACCGAGCTTGAGCAACATAATCATGAAAACCTAAACCAGGGGTCGGCAACTTACAATGCATGTGTTTGATGTAATGCCCTGGTCATTGAATTACTAGGGTGTAGCACTGGTTTATTAAAAACAATGAACGAAAGACCAAAAATAAATATAAATGTAACTTGATGACAAAGGGATCTTTGTGCTCTGTACATGTACATCTTGTGCATGAGTATGGCCTGACACATACACACACAAATCCATAGCATGTACGGGACAATGGGCAGTACTGGTGCATGAATTATATGTGCATTTTGCACGGATCTGTTCATACACGATGTACCCTAACCCTAACCCTAACCCTTGCACGGGTAAGTTGCAGGAATCCCACACAACGGCACGCTACTGTTAACAAACGCACACACACATTTCACATTCCACCGTAGAGTAGGAGAAACCAACGGTTAGGGGCCGTAAATGACCGTGAGCTTGGATCAGACTTGTAGCTGACATTGTTTAAAGTGAACTTAAATAGATTGGGTGAGGCTCGTGTGTGAACTGTCTCCATTGTTTATACACACCCAAGTGGTAACCGAGTGGTGTGTCGGAATGTTCTCCACGTGGCTCACCAACAGGCCAAGTGGGTGAGTCAAGTAGAGAGGGCTCGGCCTCTGCCCCTCTCCCCCTTCTCACACCTTAGTCCTGTGACCTAAAAACTCACAGGACTCCTTAAGTCAGGGACGGGATAACGTGAGCCTGGGCTAAGACTGGTGTAGGGGAACCCACAGGGGAGACCGGACATCAGGGCCGAGAATCTAGAGGGATTTCTCTGAAGGATACGGGCCTGCTAGCCGGGTGCTTTTGATCCGTCATCACCCCAGGGCGGCTGATTGGGTGAATCTGCTCGTCGCCGGCGAGGTCCCCTCAGTTTGAGCACACTTCTGAGGGTCCTCGTTCTCCGTAAAAAAAGAAAAAGAAAAAAAGAAAGAAGTTCTCCCTCCAGGAGCGGGGGAGGCGCCTGCCTTTAGCGTGAGCACCGCACGCGACACATGCCAGCATGGGCATACCAGTTTTCAGTGACACATGAGAAAGCAAATAATATAGTAAAATATTGAAATATGCCATTTCTTTGTTAAAAATATTACATTAGTGCAACAGCGTAAAATTCATGCTCAGTGGTCCTTGTGCTGCTGTACAACAGTGTAGGTGTTGTAACCAGGAAACATCTGGCAAAGAGGACACCGCACTGTACAGATCTGCTCAAGACATGACAAGAAAATGTAGCTGGTCTTTTCAGCCCAGTTGGACAAAAAGAGCATGTGCCATGCCAAAGTATTTTGAGCAGAGTACCACAAACTGTGTACCTTCAAAATCAGGCTACAGAAGGCGTGTATTGCTGAATGTAGGAAACTTCATAGATAGAGAATACATACAGGAGGCTTTCCTTCACAGTGCAGAGGTTTTGTTTGAAGAGCTACGAAATAAAGACACCATCATATCCAGGATTAAAGATTTAGTTTGTCTGCAAGAACTGTTGAGATGAGCATTAATGCAATGATGGGAAATGCTGCAAACTGTTGCACTGACAAATACAGAGATGTTCAGTGTGGCTGTGTATAAAAGTTTGGACAAATTCCAATTCACAGTCAACTGACAACAGACCATTCAGTGGTTTGTGTGCAGCTGTAAATATCAACATGCAGACCAGCAGATTTCGGCAGTAAAGCGTTATTCAGTAACACATTACTGTAATATTATTACTCTCCCAGTAACGTAATAAGGGATTACAATTTCAACAATTAAAACAGTTATTATATGACAGTTATTAATTCAAGTAACACTGCTTTATCGGAGCGTGATGGGTTCATCGTGCCAGGTATGCTTATGTTAAGATAACGTGACGGCGCAGAAGGGGAGACAAATCTGATCTGCTCATCTTTACACATGCTTTTTGAGAGATTGACTAGGAGAAAAAGAGAGAGAATGGTCTTTTATGACACTTTGGGGGTCTGCAGACACACCAGGGACACAGATTAAGTCATTAAAAACTGCATTTTGCATTATATGTGACAAATGTATATCCTCAAATACGACAGATAAGGATAGTTTAAATGCAATCTAACACATTTCGATCACAATGAAAAGGTGCATAAAGTTGTTATATACTAACACAACTAAGTATATTAAATACATTCTAAATAGCTTAATATTTGCCTTAAGCTTATGAACTGTAAGTACAATTAGAATGTGATGAGTCCATCACAGCAGGTCAGTATGCATCTTCACATCGCATCAGGCAAATATGGCCTGAGGCACGTTTGACTGTGCCGAGGATGTAATATATAATATAATGTAACTAATTACTTTTGACACCAAGTAATAAGAAAAGTAACTTCCTGAGTAACTTGCTCAACATTGCAGACCAGACTTAGATCAAGTTAGCAGTGAAAGGTAGGGTTTGATTTATTGTATGTGTAACATACTCATTACACATGACATGAGTAACAGAGAGGGGACCCTGCACAATATAATAATAGGTCTACAGCTCTATTGTTACATCAAGGTCAAACTTCGGTAATAATATAACTAACTATCAGTGCATAAATAAATAAATGGCATGCTCATTAGAAAATGCCACAAAATGGCACAGCGACATTTTTGCAAATTGACACTGACATTATAGAAAAGACTGCCGATCCCTGATCTGATCTAAACCAACATCTTCAAGTCTCAGTGACGCATGCTTACCTGCTGTAGGCCCATTGCATAGGTCTTCATGAAAAAGTCTGCAAACTCATAGTACTCCTTTGTCACATTGCCAGGGCTTCCATACCTGTAACGAAGATAGAAGCATGTTGTGACAGCCGGGATTTCATCACTGGATTTCATCACCTGTGTACACCCCTGGAAAGATCCATCCCATCTCATCCTTGATTTGTTACCGGCCTCCCCTTCCCTTATCTGTCATTGAGTTTGTGAGGAGAGTAGGAGAGCAGAAGAGAGAACTGAATTGAACTGATGTTGTACTAACTCACACAGGCTCCGCCGTCTACTGGACTATGGGTAATTCTATAGAAATAAAATAGGAGTAGAAAGGACATTGAACTGGTTTCCGTGGTCATTTGACAAATACAAAAGAAAATGGTGATTGTTGTTAGTTGCTATGGGGCCGTAAAATGTTGTGGTAGCTTGCCAGTAAGAGAGCAGACTCAGCTCCGGAGACAGATGGCTGGCTAGTTAGAGAGGTAATATAGCTTGTCCATCTCCAGAGCAACGGGGAGGGAAGTGGAGGGACTGCTAGACCTAGCGCTGCCGCTGGCCACCAGGCCACTGCTCGGCTTATTTTTTGTAACCAGTGTAGCATGGTGGAATAAGCAAGATAGCTAACTAGCCAGCTGTCCACTAGTTAGCTAGCTTGCTAATTCCACGATAGTTAAATGCTACACTGGTTACAGAAAATGAGCCAAACAAAGTTGTCATTCATCTGGTGATAGAAATGTGCTTTCCCACACTGTGACAAGAGTGTGTGGTAGCCTATTAAGTTAAATTTGACTTATTTAACGTTACTTTTAGCTCTCTGTGCTTTGTAACGTTATGACCCCACTGATAGTTTTAGTTGGCACTGCAAAACCTCACCTCAGTGAGTCTGCGCCTTGCCGTAAGTCTGTTTAGTTTATGCGGAAGTTAGGTAGCTGCAACGGTTGCAATGGCAACAATACACACAAAAATGGACACTCTACCATCGAGCTACGTTGATTTGAATTGGATAGTCCCTTCTACTTATATGTCTAATACTCTCCTATTCACGAGCATGATTGGAAATTTTGCATACGCGTAGCCAGCCAGGACATGCCTGCCAGAATACATGTGGAACTCATAGAACATAAAGCAGCACACATCGTTAATCGATATTCGATTTGCCCTCCGACTGCCTGCATCCACAGATGGAGTCCCCCTTTAAGACCCTCGTCAGTAACCATGGACCACGCAAAAAGGCTGTTAAGCAGTCAACAGCCTGCCCAGCCTGCTGAGCGCTGCCTAAGACTCGATGCTAGCAGTGGTGGGATCACTTTCCATGCTTTGATGTGATGCTTCGCTGCGATGAGAGCAAACCAGAGCTAGAGATCATTGCTGTGTAAGTCCCCGCTCCGCCACTGCTTCCGGTCATCCCCGCTGAGAGACCAGCTTCGTCTGCAGATGACGATGATGTCAACGTGTCTGGAACATCGTCTTACGGAAGCCCACTGCTGACAGCTCTTTGCCGGGTCTTCTAGCTTGTGATGACTACTGTGGCAGGGCATAGTTATCACTCAGAATTGAATTCGGCCTGAAACGAATACGACGTTTCATTGCTGGGTTAACAGTGGGATGCCTATTACCTGGGGGCGAAATACACCTCAATCCAGTTTAACCCTGGTGGTTGCGGAAAGAGGGTGTCTGTTCTTCCTTCATCTGTCTCCACACAGGGTGACAGGGCGGGAAAACATTGACACGTAGTCAGCTGCTGCGTTTATAGGCAAGCCGGTGATGCGTTCACAGACCTCATCTCCATTTAGGGTAACAGGAGGAGAAAACAGTGACACAATGCCAGCTACTGTGGTAACAAGCAAGCCGTTGATGTGTTCACGGACCTCATATCCACACCGGAAACAGGAGACATTGGACACATTGTCGTGATGTCTGCTGTATCTTTCTCAAGCTGGCCAACCGGCGATGTGTTCAGGGATCTAATTTCCTGCTTGAACTTTTCCCTGTTGGTCTCCCATATGCCGCCTTCTGTTTGTGGCCGTGAGGTCTGAGAAAAGATAGCTGGTCGCTCGTCCTAAAACCCAGTTTTACCAGGCATGATCTCCGCATCCTAAACTGGTGCATTGCCCGCAAGACATTACGTATGTAAACCATCAAACAATCACTGGCACTTGTTCAGTTTGGCGATAGGTTCACCTACATCATCTTAAAAGGTGAACACTTTCAGGTCGAGGTGGCTTCAAATCTCAGGATACTCTTGTGTTTGGACACTGTGCTTTGGCTGCTGCGAGGTGAAGGGGTGAAGGTGGGTTTTTTTTAATCACAAAGACATCATTGTCATGGTTAGGTCCAGAGAATGGGCTATGTTCCTTACTTCCCAGACCTCACTACAAACCAAGTTGGGGTTCATGATCAACTGGAAGGGAAGCGGCCTCTTCTACACCAACAGGTGGAGTATCTGGAGGTTATGCTCCCCACATGGAGGTTGCGGGCCACTCTGTCTGACCAGACATGGACAGCACCCCTGGATATAGTTTGCAACTGCCGGGGCTGTAACAGTGATGGCGTTTACCATAATGTGTGCGCCGGTGTTTGTGGCAGTTGCCCATCCGGTGGTACAGCTTTGTCTCCTGCACATGCAGCGTCTGCAGAGGTGGTTAAGGCCAAGTAGCACAAGCTGTGCTTGGTTAGCATTCCCACCTCAGCACAGGATGACCTGCAATACTGGGGCTCTCTACAACCCCTGTTGCAGGGAACACCACTAGGAAAAATGACCTCAAACATCACTGAGTAGACAGATTTGAGCCTTACTGGGTGTGGTGGGGCCTGACTAGGTGATTTGTAGCCCAGACACATTGACGTCCTTAAGCTACAGGCAATGTTCTTGATCCTCCAACACTTCAGGTCCCTGTTATGGGGGAGGAATGTGCCGGTAAGAGCCGACAACCACACCATGCTGGCCTACATCAACAGGCAGGGCAAAGTTTGGTCTGCAGCCCTGTTGAGGATGCCGGAGAGCCTATGGTTGTTGGCTTCAGAACCCCTGTTTTTTTCTGAAGGCCATCCACATTCCTGGGGGGGGGGTCAAGAAAGCAGAAGTGGATCAGTTTGCCAACAGATACAAGACCCACTGTCTGCTATGGTTCCCCCTGATACAGCAGGACAATCAACCCCTTGGGTTGGACGCCTTTGCCCCATGGCGAAGAAAGCTGCTTTATGCCTTTCCAATGCTGCATGTCAAACCTCCCCTGTTGGAGAGTTATTATGGTAGCCTCAGGTCGTCATCCGTGGTATACAAAAAGTACTGGGATGATGGCAGCCCATCCCCGTACCATCCCCCTGTTCTGGGGGTTCTATCTCAGGAGGAGGGTGCAATAGGCACGCTGCCAAATGTGGGTCGTTCTCCCCAGACTTGGCTCACGAGAGGGATAGGATGAAGAGAGCTGGACTGTGTGTACAGGTGGTGCAGACCATCTAAGCACAAGAGTGGGATCCACCATTGCCTGGGCAAAGTGGTCAGTGTTGCAATGCTGGTTCAAGGAAGTTCAGTTGGGTGCATTCTCTCCTTTTGTCAGTGTGTGATGGATAGAGGGCTGTCTCCTGCCACTGTTAGTGTGTGCAGCAGCCATTTCTTCCTGCCAACATGGTTTCGGTCACCCTCTCATGAAGCGAATCCTGCAGAGGGTCAGGAGACATCTACCGGTAATGCATGCCTCTTCCCCGCAGAGGGAACTGCCATTGGTGCTCGAGGCTTTGGCGCAGGGTCTCTTTGAGCTTTTGGAGTGCTCCTCTCTGAAGGCGTTGTTGTCCAAGAAAGCTTTGCTGCTTGCACTGACCTCATCTAAGAGAGTGTTTGAACTAACTGCCCTGTTGGTGCACCCCTGGTGCTTGCTGCTTTGTGGGGACCGCACAAAGCAGGGGAACCTAGGGTTATACAGCTGGATGCTTTTTGTCATTCACCCCATGCGTGGGAAAATGGAGGCAAAGGGAGGTAAACTGCTTTACCCAGTATGTGTGTTGGCATGTTATGTTGAATGCACAGCCCTCATCATGCGCACTGAACATCGGTTTGTGTGCTTCGGAGATGGTTTGTCTGGTAAAGCCCTATCCAAGTAACGCCTGGCGGGATAGCTTTGTGGGTGCATCTACTACCTGGGTTGGCTGGGGCCCCCTACTTCTCCGCTGTGGCGGCCTAGGTTATAAAGAAGTAGGTGGGCAGCGGCGACTAACCTTCAGCCGGTCAGGATCAGTGTGGTTGGGTCAATATGTTATGTAGCGGCATGTTGTACATTCATTGGGCTCCACTTACTGTACCCATAGAGTCCAGTAGAGGGCGAAGCCTGCGTGAGGTAGAACGAAGATTACGATATCAATGTGTAGGGTGTACATTGTGACTTATGTGCATACCCTTTTGTGGTTTGATTTAACCGTAAAAAAACACAGAAAATCAAACTGGCTGGTAATGTCTGCTGGTGATGTGAGAGCAGCTCTGGACTCACCTTTCAAACAGTCTTGTGATGATGCGTAACGCCCACTTCTTGCACTTCCACCATGCAAGCTCAGGACGGTCGTCCTCATCAACCTCCAATGTTTCCTAACAAACAAACACTTTATGTTCAGTTTTTGGAGCTTGTGAATCCAGCAAAAGAACAGAAAATCACAGCCAGATTTCTGCCACCATAATGAAAAATATTTGATCAGTTTCTCATTTTTACAAGATCCATTTTACATCATAACTAAATATTGATTGTTATATGTTATTATGACATATTTTGTTATTATTACTATATACCAAATGATTCTGTCAATTCAAGAAACTATTTGTAAAAATATCAAACATGGATGAATGAAGTTAAAAGCGAGAGAAGCAGAGGTAACGTAAAGGAATGAATGTTTCTACTGGGTCGCCCTAAATGAGCTGATGTGTCGAACTGTGGAATTGATTTGTGGATTGGAGGAACATAAAAGGCTGGGGCATATTCATTGTTTGAAATTTGGCTTTTGTCAGAGTTTACAGAAACCCACTCTTCCAAAATGTGGATGCAATTTATAAAAATCAGGGTTTTCCGTACCATCATAAGCTTTTTTCCGCAGCGTCTAAGCCAAATGACCAGAAACAAATGTCATGCTGCCATGTTTTGATGTCATTTACAGGTACGCTGCTTTCGTTGTCCTCTCTGTGTTGGTGTTTCACCGATGGTTGGGCTCAGTTCCTTCTCCACACACAACACACAGTCATGTTCAAGAGACCCTCTGACATGGGTCTAGTTCACACTACACAAAAGCCCTGACTTTCCACTCTCTGACAGTTAATGGAGCTCAGAAATCGCGCCAAAAATCCTAGATCAGATGTAAATCGGTGTTGGCTCAGCGCTTGCAAATTGTATTTCAGCACTATGTGTGAACTGTTTAAAAGACGTGGGCCGGATGAATCCCTAGTAGGCTAAATATCTGGACCTATCGGGGGATTCCGAAGGAGCTACAGCCAATGAGAGCGCAAGACACAGGTTGAGAGAAAACCTCTGGGAGAAGTCACAATAAAGTCAAAATAACGAGATCCTCTGGGCAAATATTTTTTTGTCATGGTAAAAGCATTACCCTGTCAAAGGCATTATAATGATTTAGTACAGGAAAATATAAAGCACATCTAAAATCTTCCCCATTTATTCACTCTTTTCAAAAAGCTCAATCCAGTGCCCAATAAAGGTTAATATCATAGACTCAAAGTCAAGTTATGTTGTTTATATAATGCTGGTCTCACATAGCCAAACCTATCTTCACAGCGCTGTGCCAGCATTAAAGAAAGGTCTGGGTCTTCACATTATCATCTGCTATAGGGGAACAACGTCTGTGCCTTGTTTGTATTTCTGAAAAGGGCCAGTGTGCAGCATTGAGAGGGCTCTGTTGGCGTTACATGAGTGTTTTGGTTACTGTAGAATTAGCCGTTTATATCTACATACGGAGAAGGTCCTCTTCACGGAGGTCACTATGTTGAACCTTCATATTTCTACACTAGCCCAGAACAGAAACATTGGCTCTAGATAAGGCCTTCATGTTTTCGAGTCTGCCCCCGTAGTTCGTCTCCACGCTTGACACAAGGGAGAAGCTTCAGTTCGTTGCAATCTGCAAACTCTAGATGCTACCACACTGGCCCTTTAAACCAATCACAATCTTCTTGGATGGAGCCAAGCACAGCATACAGCCATGGTGCTCTTGCAAAATGGAAGGGGAGGAGAACCTCACCAGTGAGTCAGACTAATACAACACAATATCAAACATTAGCTTCAAGGGGATTAACAATGTGTACAACAAATGACACCCTCTGTCTTTAAGCCCTGAATTCATATGAGGAAGAACTCCTCCCCAAAAAACATTCAACAAGGAAAAGATCTGAGAAACCTCAACCTCATAAAACCATGAGAAAGTCCAGAGAAAGTCCTCCTCCACAACCCGGAAATTATAGCTCTTTCTTATATAGATATATTTGTTCAAGTCACTTTCATTTATTGACAGGTCCTGGATAATGTATGTATGTGTGTGTGTCTTACAGCTGGGACGTCTCGGTCCATTATGGCTCGGAGGATTTCCATCCACTGAGTCATCACTGTGTTGTTGATCAGCTGCAGAGGCAGTGAGTACTGCAGGACAACAAGAAGGTCAATGCTGTCACCACAATCATCATCATTATGATCATCACCACAGTGAAAATTCTCTAATATATTTACTTATGGAGTTTCATATTCATTAGGTGTATCTGACTGTTATTTCTAATATCCCTGATGACGGGAACAAGCTGAGATGTGTCTGTCTGACAAATACATTTCTTCTGCCTCCAGTTCTCCAAAATGTCTGAATCTTGCGGTCACTGGTCGTGGCTTTTATAATGTTTTGACACACACCTGTACGAGAGCGTGGAAGATCTTGAGGATCTGTTTCTGAATGAGGACAGAGAAGATGGTAGCGTCAGCAAGCAGCTGGCTGATGAGCTGCTGAATCCTTGGCAGGAAGATCTGCATGGCTGCCAGCAATGGCTCCCTCTCATCTGCCTTCCGGTACCTGAACACACAAGCACAGACACACAAAAATAAGCAGTACTTCCTTCCGGGATCCTCCTTTAAGAAAGGACTCAAACGTACACCGAGCCAAGTCCCACAAGTCCCCGACACACCAGGCCCGGGGTTTGCTTCTCGGCTGATTGAGCATGTTAAATCGGCGGCAGAGTGCGCTTGTCAAATCACTCTGATTGGCTTTAGCTTAAACTCATCACTGCATGACAAGATAAATGAATGTGAGGAAAGAAATCAAACGACTAAAGTCAAGACGGCACACAAGAAGGCTCTTCTGATGATTCCAATGCACTAATATCTCCACAATGACATGGCCATCCTGAGATGGAGCTAAATAGTGAGCGAGGGTGTAGAATGGGTGTAGGTCTTCTGCTTTTGATCGCAAAAGAATAGTTCCAACACATAACTTTACCAAAAACTACAAGCTCGGCTAACCACATCCTGACTCCAGCGATGCACTGAACTCACAGACATGAAGTTGATATATATGTTATCTTTGATATCTATTTCCCAAAATGTTGAACTATACCTCGAGTGCTTTATTTATTTTGGTAAATAACCCAGGACATTGATTTGTGCTGAAATGTTATGTTTAATCTTATCCATTCATTTAAAATGGATTATTTTTGCTGTATGAGGAAATAGCAACGGGAGCTTTCCACAAGTCTATTTTTGGGGGAAACACTGCAGGGATTTAAAGAGTGAGTTCAGAGTTATTGGCTCAGCCTTGTTGTCTAAACGTAAACCGTATCCAGTTTATTATTGGACCATCCTCTTTTAAACCTGTAGTCGTGACGTGAGGGCGAATATGAGGAATATGTTTACCAGTTTACTCACTCGTATGTTTTGACCAGCTGGTAGAGAGCCAGCAAGCTGCCGTACCAGCTGCCGCCGTTCTGAGACTGCAGGTACATGCCAATTTTGTCCACTATAGCGGTCCAGCGGCCGGGGAAGTCGTGCTTGATGATAGCTCGTAGACACATGGTCAGCTGGGCGCTATGGACGGCGGAAAAACATGTGGAGTCATTTATTGTATCAGTCAATAAGCAGTTTTGTTCCTTCAGTGTCTGCATACCATTCAGGTTCCAACTGTGACCTCTGTCAAATGAAAGTTTAAAGAGTTATAAAACAAAAGCGTTTCATTTAGATTTTAGATTCATAAGAAGTCTACAGGTTTGAATCATGCTTTTCTAAGAAGATAAACAGGTGATGCATGACAACAAGTTTCATTCTTTGTCTAAAGAGGGACAGTTGCATGAAGTAGAGTAACAGATGCATCCTGCGTGTAGTGTGTTCAGACTCAGTACCGTATGGACTCTGGAGAGCGGATGATGCCCTCCACTACGTGGTCTCTGATCTGCTGCCGGTCGTTCTCGTGGATGTTGAAGGGAAAGACGACCTCCCCAAGAGACGGCTCTCTGTCCTGCCAGTACTGACTCACCATGTTCTTCAAGTAGATGGCCGCTACACACACAGATCCCGGTAGTCAGACAAACATGCACAGACTCAAGGTGATCTCATGAGTCTCAATAAACTGCATTTAGAGGATAACTTTAGTGATATTCTATCTTCCACCTATTGTCATTCTATCTAAAAAACAATCAAACAATGAATACAAAATAAGTTATTTGTGTATCCAAAGTCATCGTATTCCTCTGTGTATGGGGTCGGATCAGTCCCAATATTAATGAATGCACACAAAAGGATTCAAAAATGTATTTTGTGATTTCTATATAAATGACTCTCTCCACAAATATATTTTACAATACACACACAAGTAATCATTATATATAAATTTAAACAAAATCAACATGTAAAAATATGATTCACAGATATACGTCTGATCCACACACATATATATTTTGGTTTAAATAAATGTAAAGGAAATCCATAAATATATAATTTTAATGATTTACTTTTGAATGTATTTGACATTGTAAATGTGGTAAAGGTAATACGTAAGTTTCAGTTTGTCGGTTTCAAGATCAGCTCATTATTTTGTTATAGTGTTATCGTGTTATGGTGTTATGGTGTTATAGTGTTATAGTCTTATAGTGTTATAGTGTTATAACACCATAACACCATAACACGATAAGACTATAGTCTTATAGTGTTATGGTGTTATAGTCTTATGGTGTTATAGTGTTATAGTGTGTTATCGTGTTAGTGTTATCGTCTTATAGTGTTATCGTGTTATCGTGTTAGTGTTATCGTGTTATGTGTTATAGTGTTATCGTGTTAGTGTTATCGTGTTATCGTGTGTTATAGTGTTATCGTGTGTTAGTGTTATCGTGTGTTATAGTGTTATAGTGTGTTATAGTGTTAGTGTTATCGTGTGTTATAGTGTTATAGTGTTATCGTGTTATCGTGTGTTATAGTGTGTTATAGTGTTATCGTGTGTTATAGTGTTATCGTGTTATAGTGTTATCGTGTGTTATAGTGTTATCGTGTGTTATAGTG